TCACAAGACAGCAGCATATTTGTATTCACAACTGCCTTTGACATAGAAAAACTTTACTGGTAAGTTATTGCGAGTACTTGTTTTTTATATATAACAAAGCATAGCTGTCTCTTGCTTGTGGGTATACTGGATTTGTAATTATCCATAATATTTGCCAATACAGCTGCACTTTAATCAGTTCCAATACTAATACTATTCCAACTCAAATGCTGTAAAAAGGTAAAGTTAAGGTATAGGCACATATCACATTATCTTCTAAGAACACTAAAGATAACAAGCAAAGGCCAACAAGTATCCTAAGGTCACAAGAATTTCTTCTCTCCTGCATATCTAAGGCAATCCACATGTAGGGGGGAAAATGTCTCTGCTCTCACCACTCTCCCTTCCTGCCACATATGCAAGAAGCTGTGGGAGAAAAGCTCTCCCCCAACAGATCTCAGATCTGCAGGGAGGAGAGACTGGGTGAGAGCAGGAAAAATTCCAGCATTTCTTGTAGGTCTTCTGGTGTCTGCAGGGCAGAAAACCCACAGCAAACCTTATGAGGCTTGTTGTGGGCCAATACCTAACCCTTAGGATGGGGTAGTTCCCTATTCCACCTAAACATACATCTGTAGTAGGTGCCTTAGCCACAAACAAGCCCAAACAGGCTTGTCAATCTTTAATTACCTCAAATACATTCACTGAGGACAAACAAGTCTACTATGGCTCCTGGGGGTGGAGTGGGGTGGGGAAGACGGACATGAAGCAGTCAAAGATGATCTCCAATGAACTCAGAAGGGGTGGTGGGTACAATCTCCCACTGAACTTAAACTTTGGGGGCTGGTCCCCAGTGAACTTTCCACAGCTTACAAAGAAGGGCTGATGGGGGTATGTGTGCACATAGGGTTTTACTGCCCCAATCTCTCCCCCCATCTCCTTGTATGCTCCAGCCTCCCAAACTCCTTTAGTTTGCAGGAGCAGAGTTCCCTTCCTGTGATTCCTCGGGAGGTTTGCCAGAAAGAACATTGGTCTTGGGGAAGGAAATCAGGGATATAACTTCCATTCCGGTGGTCCTCCTCCCAAGGCCTGCAGGTTGGGAGAATCTCACACAAGACTTAAGTTCAGCTTCACTTCACCTGGAATATGCTATGATAACAGAACTCAATGTTTCAAATAAGCAGCATTAGTTTTATCATAAGCAATAAAGCCAGTTCTACTTAGAGTTTGCTTGAAAAATGTATAAAAGATGAACAGCTGTTATCTAATATATTTTGAAAGAAACAAATGCTTTTTAAAAAGCATGTTTGCAGATATGTCTATAACTTAACTAAGGCAATTCATATTACTAGAATAATTAAAAATGCCTACCTGCTTTGCTGCTTTGAATTCCATTTGCAGCTTTAGAGGTGCATGGAGTCCTTGAATATTTCTCAGAGTCGATAAATTCATTTTATCTTGGTTTAGCTGAAACTATCAAAAGATTTTTTTTTAAAAGCTCCATTTAATTATAGCTATAGAAAATATATTTGTAAAATTATACTTCAATGAACATGCATATGGAAATCATCCTCAGCCAAAAAAAAAAAATGCAGTAAATAGGTTGCTAGATTTATAAACCTCGATGTGTAAGAAAATTGCCAGAATATTAACTCATTTGTTTTAAATAACTGAGAAAGAAAATCTAATTTTAAAATCATGCATTACATGCTGCTTGCTACTTGCTAAAGCTGTATTTTGTTATTTTTGGCAAGCAGAATACACAGGACTCCACCAAGTGGAGTAGTTGTGTATTACTTTGAAGTATCACTAAGCAATTTCAAGAAATTATTAAAATATTAGTAGCCCAGAAAGGGGAAAGCCAAGCATCTTGGCCCAAAAGAATCCATGGCAGGACTTATAAACTGACAAGAAGAGTAACTTTTTTTGCTATCATTGAAAAATATAAGAAGCCTATATTTGGCAAACTTTTCCTATTTCCAGTATAATGAAATTACTTTATATACAATCTCAGCAGATATTTATTTTTGTTAAATATCTTGTACACGAGTCCCAGTGTTTTAAATCATTTAGGAAAGCAAGTGTTGAGTCTTGACTCCTTACTGGGTCCTCTGGCACTAATCAATAACAAGAAATATAGCGTATGGATACCTACTTAATAGGTACTGGTTTCTGATAACAAAAGACGTTTTGACTGGTCAAATAAACTTTTCAAGTATAAACTAAAAAATCATTTTGCATGTATTTGCAGTACTGGGGGAGGGGGGTTGGCTCCAGGTTTTGCATTGATGCTACTGATAGCAGCACCATATTCAGTGACATAAGACTGTATTTTTCCTGATTTTTTTTTAATTTTCTTAATATTCAGAAGTTATACTTGTAACGTTTATGATAACAATATATTGGTGTAAGAGGCATTGATGTTTCCAAAGAAGACATTTAGCATAAACAAGCAGAAGTATAAGTTACAGGACAGGATACCATCTCTAGGCAAAACATCAAAGGTCTAGTCGGTCTCTGTAATTTTCATCAGAAGTCCAGAAGCTTTACTTCTTTAGCTTACTACATTAGCCTTGCCAGTGTCTTTTGCTATTTAAAAGTGGGGCTTATGACATACCAAGCAAAGATATTTAGTTTCTTTGCTATTAATGCAATTTGTAGAGTTTATAAACTTCTACGGCAATAAGAACAACCATAACCATTTCAGCATAATACAGGAATAATATTTTGGTATATTACTAAATGAACCGAAAAGTGTATCTCCTGAAGATGTTTAGTTCTACTCCATCAAATCTCCTGTGCGGAGATAAACCCTAGCAGTTCTTTCAGCTACCCTCTATCCCGATAGAACGTGACCCGATATAACACGAATTTGGATATAACGCGGTAAAGCAGCGCTCCGGGGGGGGGCGGGGCTGTGCACTCCAGTGGATCAAAGCAAGTTCGATATAACGCGGTTTCACCTATAACGCGGTAAGATTTTTTGGGTCCCGAGGACAGCGTTATATCGAGGTAGAGGTGTATTAACCAACCCCCATCTGTCAAAAATTCACAAATTATATCACAGCAATACTGCTGTTAGGCATCTTTATTCAATTAATGTTAGAATGCTATTCACCACTGACTGGGATGCACTGAAATTGCACTTGTCAAGCAGTTAACAGTAACAATAGCCCTTAAACTTTGTAACTAGCTGATGGTAAGAAACTTTTAAAAGGTTATCAAATTCAATACTGCACTTACATTTTTTTCTGACAGTTCCAAAGGATGGCTGGGCAAAAGTTCATTTTTTACACTTGTAAAGCTAGAAATGCAAACAAAAGGGTTTTTTTTAAAGTCACAGAAGAACCAAAAATCAATGCACCAATTTCTAGTCTGACATTAATTCTAGATACAAACATCAAGCCGCTATAATTAGTGCTCACTTAGAACAAGGAAAAAACCTGTACAAGAACTTCATTCTTTTTCTGCTTCAGCTTCACGCTTAACATAAAAGCAGTCATGTTTTTTCTTCCCCCAGCTCCAGCTCACAAACAGAAGACAAATTTAACTTGAATACCGGAATACACCCTGGTGTTATTGGTTAATTTATGGATAATCTACATGCGTGACATGGGTGACCAGATAGCAAGTGTGAAAAATTGGGATGGGTAATAGGTAACTATATAATAAAAAAGCCCCCAAAATCAGGACTGTCCCTATAAAAATCGGGACATCTGGTCACCCCATGTGTGACCCTAAGAGCATCCTTGTGCCAAAAGACAAGGGTTTGCCTGGTACCCAGCAATGAGTTTCAGCTGCCCTGACCAACTCAGTGTACCCCAACTCACTAATATTACAATCTGTATCTAAAAGGTGTAATGTACTGTGTCATTGGAAAACTAATAACTCACTGATCATTAATATTCTTGTGTGATGTATGTACAGTCAACCCTTGAAGAACTTTACAGATAGGCTGGAAATATATGACTAAAAGGTGTTTATCAAATCCCCCTGACGTGCCTGGTTGAAACAGGTTTTCCCCAAACAAAGGGAAAAGGCCAGGTGTGGCCAAATTCAATGGGCTACTCATTTGTATGAGAAATTGCAGGAAGAGATCATTTGCATTGTAAAAGTCACCAGTGGAGGAGAAGACAGCATACAGTCTGCAGGAGGCAGCATGACAGTCATACGCAGCAGGGAAAAGGAAATGTATCTAGGGATACACTTCAGAAGAATACATTTCAAAAATTTACCAGACTATAGAGGGGGAGTGAACCCCGAAATCACCCTTCACCTGAGGAGACAAAGGAACCAAGCACTTTAAGCTCTGTGAAGCTCAGAATTAGAAGAACTCAAGTTAGCAGACCCTGGGTTTGTTAACCTAAGGCTTGAACATCTACACTCGTTTGTAATCACAGGTTAGGAAGTGTTGAACCCTGGGTCTTAACCTGGGGTTCCAATGTTTACACTGCATTATGCAAGCCCGAGTCCAACCACTTATATCCCAGTCCTCCAAGCACCCTCTCAAAATGTGGCCACTTTAGCCCTTTGTTCATAGTGCAGCATGGGAAAACTTGACTGTCCACCCAACTTGACAGTTCAGAGGATAAAAAAAGTCGGCCTTTGGGATTCTTGTGGCAGACTCCCAGAGCACAAGTCTAGTGGGGCTACGTCTATGCTACAAAGCAACAGGGCTTGAACACGGGGTCATGGTTTGACTGAGGCTTGGACCCGCCATCCCGTGGGGTCTTGGGACCCAGGGTCCGAGCCCTGGGTTACCACAATTTGTGTGCATACAGGTGGGATTAGGTTTGAGCCTCAGTTCGAACCCTGAGCTTACACTGCAGTGTAAACATACCCTTGGTGAGAAACAAGTCTTTGAACAAGAGACTTAAACCAGGTTTTAGTCTTAGAAGGGTGTTTTCACTTTTATTTCCTTGTAATCTTTTCTATCTTTATTCCTTATACTCGGTATCACTTAAACCTATGACTTTTTGTTTAATGACCTTGTTTTACTTTTACCATAAATCAATTCAGTGCTGTGATTGAAATAAGAGCATTTGTAGCCCCCTCCCCCTCCCCATGAATTAATGAGTTGCAGTGAATTGTCTTTTTAAAGGAGCAACAAATGACTGCTCTGTGAATGTTCAGGAGGGCTGGACACTGCACAGTGACGTCTCTGGGAAGCTTGGGAGTTCACCGATTGTTTCCTGCAAAGCAAGGTTTGAATAAGAGTCCTAAAGAGTCTGATGGCAAGGCGGACAAGCTGGTGTGTCAGGGAGTTGTCACACAGCTTAGCAGTAGCAACACACTGTCCAGCTGAGGCTGAAAGGGGTAACTCACAATTCTGGGAACCTCAGCAGATTGTGGTAATGTTAGATGGTTCTGTGGAAATTCAGGACTGGGAAAGCACTGGGTCACTCTGCAAAAAAGTAACTGGATTGTGGAAGCCAGGGTGTGACCTGCATGCTTGTAAAGCTGGCTGGTGGTATCAGGGCAGTGGGCCATAGCAGCATAGCATTTAAGGCACTCACAGTTGTAGGGCAGGTGGTGACACAACCCTTACCAGTCTGGATTGAACGTCACAACATGGTACTTAATTACCTGACTATACTGTTAGAAAATCCAAGGCTTGCATGTTTCTGGAGCGGTTCGATAAGCATTTTAAATTTCAACAGAAGTATTTATACTTTATTCTAGATGTATATTTTATATACACATGTGTATACAGATATGGTTCTGACTACCAACCATCTGAAACATTATCAAGTAGTGTAAAAATATTAGGCCATTTTCCACATTGTTAATTCTATTTCATATGTCATTAGTAATTGAAGTCAACCATTTCGGCCAATGTTAAAAGAGCACATGCAACTACTTTCTTTAAAAAAAAAAGAAAAGAAAAGAAAAAACAGTTCATATATGAGCAGGGATGGAATTAAGCTTTTTCTATCAGTTGTTTAAAGGTGCAGCCTTATACAGATCACTAATTACACAGCTGTTTGTATTTATTATTTGCTTCTAAGAATGAGGTTTCATAGGAAACAAGCTCTTGACACAATGCTCCTACTGTAATTATACATAAAGTGACTATACCAGGGGTTCTTAACCAGCACACAGCTACAGCCCATGTAGGTGTACAGGTGGTATATACACCTCTACCCCGATATAACGCGACCCGATAGAACACAAATTCGGATACAATGCGGTAAAGCAGCGCTCCAGCGGATCAAAGCAAGTTCGATATAACGTGGTTTCACCTATAACACAGTAAAAAATTTTGGCTCCCGAGGACAGCGTTATATTGGGGTAGAGGTGTATATTGTGTGGACGTAGCCCACATTGAGAGCTGCATATGCAACCCACAATGGTAAATAGGTTGAGGACTACTGGACTAGACATATCTTTTGATATAAAGTATATGGCCAAGAAGCGCATGTTCTAAAACAGGTGCATAATACATATAAACTTTCTTCCTACATACTTAGAATTTCAGTTTGGTTATGGTACAGTATATTAGCAAGCAGACAAGGCATACCCTCTGCGTAGAATATCATGACCTCCAAATGCTCCACTAGCTGAAAATTCAGCAATTGGGATGCTATCCTTAAGCTGAGATCCAACTCCTCTGGAATTCTGAAACAAAAAGCAAGGATTACTTTTACAGAATTAGGACCCATTCAGTTCTTCTGTTAACTCTGGCAAATGAAAATTTAGATTAATTTCTTGGTAGTTATACCAAAAAAGAGTTATCCATTGAGCTGTTTGATGTCTCTTTAAAACTACATATGCACAAGCCTTAGTCTTCAGGGTGACTGACCTTTAACTGAGACTATACATGTCATTTAAGTAGGACACCTTGAAGTGATTCAGCAGTGCTTAGATCTCTTGGAATAATGTAATATCATGTTGTTTGCTCCTCAAACTTGCTAAGGCAGAACAAAAAGAACTTAACACTCTTTTACTATGTGTATGACAGCACCTACCTAAACTGGGTCCCAATCCTGATTGGGGCTTCTGGGCACTACTATAACACAAATATGAAAATGACTGTGCCATCAACTAGGGTTTAGGAAGACACTTCTATGAGCAGATTGTTCCATAATTGTCCACTGCAAGGTTTCTTGCACTCTTCTCTGAAGCATCTAGACTCTGTCAGGTGGAGGATATTGAACCAGTGATCAGACATGGCAATTGCTATTTTTCTTTATGCAAAGGGTAATAGAGAAGGTAGAAGACAGTTCTACTTCATAGGGCTTGACTGGTGTAGCTGTCCGGGGAATTAAGTATTCAATTAAGTTTAAACATCTTGTTACCCCAGAAACATAGTAACAAAGTAGAGGGAACTCAGGGAAGATCAACAAAACGTATGTATTTATTTATTAGGGGGTGGGATTGAAGGCATTGACTTTCAAGGAGACATAAAACAGTTAAATAAATGCAGGAGACTGGCACTCAGGAGATCGGGGCTCTATTCCCTGCTCTGCCATTCAGCTATTGAGACCTTGGACAAGCCACCTCACCTCACCTCTCTGTGCCTCCGTTTCCTCTCTCACACTGCCTGACTTGTCTATTTAAACAGTAAGCTCTTTTGGACAGACACTGTTTCCTACTATGTGAACGTACAGTGTTTAGCACAATGGAGCCTCCTTGCACTATCATCACACATTTGGAATATGAAAATACAGGAGAAATTATTATTGTATAAGAGGGAATGACTAGAAAACAATGGATAAAGTAAAGTAAACAAAGGCCGATGAGCCAGAAACATTCCCATTTCTAACAGAGAAAGGTATAACAGAATCCAATGGCTGGAAGTTGAAGCTAGACAAATTCAGACCAGAAATAAAGCATAATTTTTTAACGTTGTTTGTGATTAACTATTGGAATAATTTACCAAGGGTCATGGTGGCTTCTCCATCATTGGCAATTTTTAAATCAAGATTGGATGTTTTTCTAAAAGATCTGCCCTAGGAATTATTTGTTTGAGCATTGGCCTAATGAAACCCCGGGTTGTGAGTTCAATCCTTGAGGGGGCCACTTAGGGATCTGGGGCAAAATCAGTACTTGGTCCTGCTAGTGAAGGCAGGGGGCTGGACTTGATGACCTTTCAAGGTCCCTTCCAGTTCTAGGAGATAGGTATATCTCCATTAAATTTATTTATTTATAAAGTACTGCTATTGCTTCATAGACTTCTACTTTTAAGGCCAGGAGGGATTATCCTGACCATCTAGTCCAGTATTTTTCAACCTGGGGGTCACGACTCAAAAGAGGGTCCTGGGACAGGTGTAGGGGGATAGCAAGCAGGGAAACTGCAGGGGCCCTGCGAAGTTACATGCTTCAGCCTCAGGTGGTGGGGCTCAGGCTTCAGCTTTACCCACACTGCCCTGGGTTGAAGCACGAGCTTAATGTAGGGGGGGCCACAATTTTTTCAAGGGGGGGGCACACTTTTTTTTTTAAAACACATAAAGGTGGTCACTGGCACAAAAAGATTGAGAAACACTGAGCTAGTCTGACCTCCTACATACTGCAGGCCACAGAACCTCATCCCCTCACTTCTGTAGTAGGCCCATAACCTCTGGCTGAGTTACTAACATCTTCAAATCTTGATTTAAAGAATTCAAGTTACAGAGAATCCAACTTTATTCTAGTTCAAAACCAGCAAGTGACCTATGCCCCATGCTGCAGAGGAAGGTCCCCAGTGTGCCTGCCAATCTGACCTTGGAGAAAATTTCTTCCTGACCCCAAATATGGTGATCAGTTAACCCCTGAACATGTGAGCGAGACTCACCAGCCAGAAACCCAGGAAAGAATTCTCTATAGTAACTCAGAGCCCTCCCATTTTAATGTCCCACCTCAGGCCATTGGAGCTATTTGGTAACATCCAGAGCACGGAGAGGCGCTCCTTGTAGGCAATCTCATCATACCATTCCCTCCATGAACAGTCTTAAATCAAGTTAGGTTATTTGCCCACACTACTTCCCTTGGAAGATGGTTCCAGAACTTCACTCCTCAGATAGTTGAAAACCTTTATCTAATTTCAAGCCTAAATGTATTGATAACCAGTCTACATCCATTTGTTCTTTTGCTAGCATTGGCCCATAACTTAAATAACTTCTCTCTCCCCCTCCATGGTATTTATCCCTCCGATGTATTTAGAGAGACCAATCATATCTCCCCTCATCCTTCATTATGTTAGGCTAAACAAGCCAAGACCCTTAAGTCTTCTCTTGTAAGGCAGGATCTCCATTCCTCCGATCATCCTAGTAGCCATTCTCTGCACCTGTTCCAGTTTGAATTCATTTTTCTTAAAGATGGGAGACCAGAACTGCACACACTATTCCAGACGAGGCCTCACCAGTGCTTTGTACAATGGTAATAACACTTCCTTATCTCTACTACAAATATCTTGCCTGATGCATCCTAGAATTGCATGAGCCTTTTTCACAGCCACATCATGTTTGCAGCTCAGTCATCTTGTGATTGATCAATATAACCACCTTTCTCTTCTGTCACCTCTAACTGATATGATCCCAATTTATAGCAAAAATTCTTATTGTTAGCCCCTAAGTGCATGACCTTGCACCAAAAGCAGGGGTGGATACCTAAACATTAATCGTTGCAAACTCATGGGAAAGGAATAGCAGGAGGCATTGACAACTCTTGCCGCTCTATCACAAGTCTTGCAATGTTTGGTGTTCTTCTTAAAGCCCCAACTCCTAGAGTCAAATGATTCTGCATAAACTTCAGCTTTCATTGCTTGGAAGTAATCGTCTAGTCCTCATGGCTGCCGAGCCGAGCTTTAAGACGCCCTCAAATGCACCCTAAAAGCTCAGAAACCAGAAGGCAAATAAAAAAAACTTAACTGCCTCCCACCGAAAACACCCACTAGTGACATTAAATCAAACTCTCATATTGTGGAGCCGAGGTTAGCGATGCGGAGTAGGAAACTATCCCAGTGGGGGAAGGGGGGATAGTCTAACAGATATTCCCATCCCTGAGATACTGATCCCACAGGGTGTGTGTGTGTGTGTGGTTGGGGGGGGCGGGGTCTGGTGCCATGGCGCCCGTGACAGTGCGGGGGAAGCGGGAGAGAGGCAGGGAAGGAACCGGGCGGGAACTAGGTGCTGCTGGCGGGAGCGATTCGCGCTTCCGATTCTTCCCCCCACTCGCCGCTGCTCCCAGGCACAGAACCGCAGAGCACGAGCCACCTCCCCGCCGCTGTAAACGCGGGGCCCGGCCACCCCTATGACTCAGCACAGCCCCGCCGCCCCTCGCGGCCAGCCCCGGACTGGGACGACAGGGCCGCGGCGGTGCGCGGGGCCCGCGCGGGGCCGGCGGCGGCGGCGCCGCCTCCCCCCGGCAGCGGCCGAAGCGCCCCCGGGGCCCTGCACCCCGACCCTGAACTCACCATCTTGTCCCCCTCACACACAAACCGTCACTGCTTCCGCCTGCACTGATGACCTCACTTCCGCTCCCAGCGCAGCGTACTACGTCACACGCAAGAAACGCGGTGAGACAGGGGAAGGCGGGCCTGTGGCAGGGGGCGGGGCTAGGCCGTGAGCGCGCGAGTTTGCAGCGCTGCCTCAGGTGTTCGGGCTGGGGGAGGTCGTGTGGGGCCGGGGCCTGCAGAGTTTCCGGCTGCGGGGAAGAGCCGCGCCGCGCCGCGGACTGGACACGGGGTGGGGACGCGGGCCCCGCTGCTGGCCCCAGGGCCACGCCGCTGACTCATGCGCAGCCGCAGCTTTGTGGGGAGGTTGCTGGGAACAGCTGGCCCCGGCCCCACGCGTAGGCCAGAGGGGATCTCCAAGGGGGGATGAGTCAGCGGCGGCGCGAGGCAGTCGCAGAAGAGGCCGGCCGGGTTCTGGGTGTGTTAGCAGGAGTGGGGTCTGTAGGACGTCATGCGGCAGGTAACTGTCCTTCATGCTGCTGAGCCCTGAGCTGGAGTCCCGCGTGCAGGGCTGAGATCCAGACGTTACAGGAAAGATGAGGACAAATTGGAGAGTCCAGAGGCAGTGGCGCGGGAAGGGGCCATGGCCCTCCCTTTTTTACCAGCTGTAAGGGCGAGCGACAGGGGGCAGGGCCTCGGGAACAAGGAGCGATGCGTGGGGTGAGCGAGATTGGGGACAAGGGGGAGCAGGGCCACGGTTTGGGTACTGGTGCCCCCCCCCACACACACACTTTTAGGGACCTTCTGCTTCTCCTGTCGAGAGGAGAGTAACAAAAATGAAAAAAAGGGTTAGATAACCTGACCTATGTGAACATGTTAAAAAAAACTCACCAGTCTTCTAATATGTTATGGGCTGTTATGAAGGGTTTGGGGATCAATTGTTGTTCATGTCCACTGAATGTAGGACAAGAAGTAATGGGATCAATCTGCAGCAAGGGAGGTTTATGTTGCATATTAGGAAAAGCTTTCTAACTATAAGGGTAGTTAAGCTCTGGAATAGGCTTCCAAGGGAGGTTGTAAAATCCCTGTCATTAAAGGTTTTTGAGAATAGGTTGGAGAAACCTAGACGTCCCAGCCAGGTGTTTTAGTGGTGTCTCATTAGTGCTTGGGGCTGGATTTGATGACTTCTCAGGGTCCCTTTCAGCTCCATATTTCTATTATTCTATTCTTGAGTGGAAGGGGGAACTTGTGAGAAATGCCAGCCAGGCAAGAGGCTCTCAGCAGCAGTCTCCTTGGTATTTATAATCAATTTATAATTTATGATGCTCTATAGAGACCTGTGTCAAATTTGATTGATTTTTTACCTGCTATAGAAGACATAAATAACTTATGAAGACTTTCTGAAATCCATCAGCTCTTTGGAAGGTTAATGAAGTGTGCATTCATTTGTTCCTCCACAACTCCATACATAAATATCCAACACAAATATTACTGATTTTTTTCTAAGAACTGAAGTTCAGAAATTCGTCCACTTTACCTCACGTTTTGCCAAAAATTTCTCTTTTGCTACAAACTTCATGTGTGAAATTTGATGTTCACGGAGTGTAGCTTGAAGGAGTGTGCAAAATCAATTTTATGCTGGAAACATTTCTATATTTTTTTGTTGTACACACAAATAAAGACTTTGCTACAGCCTTAATTACTGAGAGACTCACACCAGTCAGTGTCTCTTGGCATAGGCGCTGATTCCATGGGTGCTCCGGGACTGGAGCACCCATGGGAAAAAATGGTGGGTGCTCAGCACCCACCAGCAGCCCTCCCTATTAGCTCCCTCCCAGTGCCTCCCATCTGTTGGTGGGCCCCGCAGATCCGCGCCTCCTGCCTGCCGCAATCAGCTGTTTTGTGACGTTCTGGGGGAGAGGAGTGAGGATGCAGCATGCTTGGGGGGGGGCGGAACTGCGCGGGAAGAGGCAGGATGGGGCCTTGGGGGAAGGCAGGACCTGGGGCAGAACTGAGGGTTAAGCATCCCCCTGGCACTTTGGGAAAGTCAGCGCCTGTGTCTCTCGGTTTTCCTCTAGCAGTAGAAGATCACCACTCAGAAAGTTCTACCAAATCAAAGTTTTGGCCCTTTCTACATTTGTATCAATAAGACTTGCACTTAAATCACAGACTTCAAAAGGATGAGAGTGGAAGACAGCTTTTATTTTCTTTTATGGAAAGCAAGTTCTTCCTTGTAAGTTTAAGTGGTGCTCAAATGCCCTGGTGTTGGAGCATTATCATAAACTAGATGTGAATACAAAACCAAATCAAGTTCCTGTTTAACTGCAGCTTACAGAGAGACCATTTTTTTTCACTGAATGTATTTATTTATTGACTCTTTGAGTTTGTTGATCAGGATATGACTGTCAAGATGAAACATCTAACTTTCAAAGTCATCCTTGCAGGACACAGACAGGATACAATCACTCCATGTACATTATTGACATCATTGCAATGCATAGTTTAGGCTGCATAACATAAAAGAATGTACATTGCAAGAAAGATCTGGTTTTCCTTTAAAGACAGACTTTCACACTAGGGGAAACTTCCAGACATAAACATAAATCACAGATATTTTTCTCATCATGTTACCAAGTGTGTTTGAATTTGAACAAGGATTGCTTTTCTCACAGCCTATCTTCTCTTCCCAGTTGATCCTGTAGAAAAAGTTATAATGCAAGGTGATTGTGACATCTCTTCCAGTTCTATGGCAAGGGTCTGATTATCCCTGTAGGTGCATAAATGCAGCTCCATTTGAAGTCAGTGGGAGTTGCACATGTGCAACTGACAGGATGATCAGGGCTCTGGATCAGGCATGAGAAACCAAGTTGGATGGTGAAAGCTCCTATTACTTAGACACAGTGAGATAAATACAAAGCTAGTGTGACTCCAGTAGCTCTAGTGAAGTTACAGTAGAGTTGAATTTGGCACATTGCCTTTAACAGTGACATCTAAATATTTTTTTAAGAATAAAAGTTTGCCCATTTTTCCTTCTTTGTATATGAAGAAGGCCTGAAATGTTGTTCAAATGGCTTTGTTTCCACCTCCCACCCCCCACTTTTTTTTAAAGAAATACCAGGAATGCCAAGTCTTGTCTCCCTGATTTTGCTGAAAAACTTCTTTGGGATTTCAGAGATGAACAGTAGAACCTCCGAATTATGGACACCGCAGGAATGGAGGTTGTCCGTAACTCTGAAATGTTTGTAACTCTGAACAAAGCACAGTTCAGGCTCCAGATCTAGCAGCTGACACTCCAGGCCAGGTTTCAGCAGCAGCTGAGCTCCCTACTCAGCGCTGGTATGAGTTTGCAAGCTTGTTCCCCTGTGGGCGTGGAGGGGAGAAGGGGGGGTGAGTGAGAGAGAGAGAAAAATAGCATGCCCCCCTCCAGGCGGGGGGTGTATGTGAAAGCGGCATAGACCCCAGTGCTGCTCCTGCTCTGCTGGCTCCAGCTGCGTTGAGCTGGCAGCCCCAGCGTCTTGCTGTCAGTGGCTGCCCTGTGCGAGGGGGTGGGAGTGGGGACAGCCCAGATGTGCCTACCTTTAAGATGCAATACACGCACAGTATTTTATTTTATTTTTGTCTCTGCTGCTGCCTGATTGGTTACTTATGGTTTCACATGGTGTACGGTTGACCAGTCAGTCTGTAAGTCTGGTGTACAGTAGAACCCCAAAGATATGAACATCATGAGCTTTCACACCTTATTTTAATGGTGAGGGTGTTGAATCTTTTGTCTCAAATACCCATTAGGCATTGGGGTTAAATAGGTGTTAACAAAAATAAAACCCCAATAAACAAAAAGTTTTGAATTACCTGACTTAAAAATTAATTCTGAATTGTGCAGCTTTCACTCTCTTGGCTCTTATGTCATCATTTCACTAGTGGCCTGTGCATTTCCCATTGAAGTCAACAGGAGTCTTTATGCAGACTTCCTGGGAGATGGATTAGACCCTAGTCACAATAGACTTTTCTAAAGTGGACAAGACCTGAATTTCTGATGTAAAAAATAAACAGAAAAACACATTGCTCCAGATCCTCAACTTGGGTCAGTAAGTCAGAGTAGCTCCATTAACTTAAATGGCACTATACTGTTGTAATTTTTACCTCTCCCTTCTTCAGGCCTTTTTTATGCATTATAGGGCAGGGGAGGGAGGGTAAGGCACACCATTTTAATACTCATAAAGGTCCCATTTAATAATAGCAATAGGAACACAGAAAAATACTAGCCAAGAAAACTTTCTTTTGTATCAACAATCTCTGATTTTGATAATGAACATCCCTCTTTAAAAATGTAATACCTTTGTAATGCCAGTGAGCAGTCTGTTCTGAGTACGTGAACCTCTATAGGAAAAAACGTTTATTCTGTTGGGGAAAAAACTCTCTTCCACCAGTCTCTGTCAACAGCCATTTAGAACCTGCTAAAGTGAAAGTACTTTTTATTTGTCTTAATCAAGTAAAATAAACACTTTTTCTTTGATCTTTAAGAAGTCCTTTCTTGTTAACTTGCTTTAGACTTTTATGTTTCAGTATTCATTGTAAATTTAATTATTTAAAAAGTTATTTTGTTTTAAATTATTAAACCTTTTCTGAATTTAAGATAAACATGGGCATGTTTTGATAAAGATTAAAAATAAATTTCACACAAAACTGCAAAATGTAACAAAGATAATGTGTAGGCGTCAGTATGTTCCAAAACAAGACTCTCTCTAGGGGCTCTTCTAAACACACTGCTACGTTAAAACCGTGTTCTGAAAAGGCTCAGGAAACCCCTGACTCTAACCCACCCTTTCCTGAAACTGGTGAAAGTATTTTAAAAAAAGTTACTGCTGCAGTGAAAAAAATAATAATTGAATCTCAACATATTGCCAAAGCAGATGATTTTTTTTCCTGTTTATTAGCAAATGTTACAGCTTTTAGTATTTTCTCCATGCTAAATTCATTTATCCTAATAGTTCAAATGCAGTGAGGAATTTGATGAATGACAAAAATAACCCATCTCAGTGAGATGTGAAATGTTATTAATGAGCACAACTAATGGGGGGGAACAAACACCAAACATTTCCTAGTTTTATAGTGTATAGCCACTATCTGGTTTCAAGTGAAAAGATAACATCCCTTCTGTTAAAACATTCTTATT